AAAAAAAAAAAAAATCAGATGACAACTAGTCATGTAAAAACAAATGTCATTGTTTTTCCTGATCTTAAACTATGTTTAAGTCTTGCTAATTAGGCACTACAAATGGAAGGAGCAGTGAAACACAGCTGCTGCCTTCTAGGAACTTAAGTTGTAAGGGTAAACAGACATATAAATGAGCATTTAACTATAAGATAAATACTTTGGAAAAGATATGTACAAAGTACCACGGTAGTAGAGAAGAAGGCATAAATGTTATGCCTGTGATGTTAGGAAGGTATTCTGGTAGAGGCAGACTTTAAGACTCAGCTGAGTCTTAAAGGTAGGAGTTAGCCAGGCAAAGAAAGGGGAGAAGGCATTGTAGGCACAAGAGAAAGAATGGATAAATGCTCGGCTGTGCAAATGAGCCTCTACAAGCTGCTCAGTTTCAGCAATTCAGAGTGTGAAGTATGCAGCAGCAGAAATGAGCCTGGAGCTGTTGGTACATTTCAGAAGGTCTAGTGTGTTGCACTAACCACTCTGAGCTTTATCCTATAGGTCTGTGTTCCTGAAGCTTCAGTTATTTGCCTATCATTTCATGGTTTTTGTCAAACTCATGATCCACCTGAACTATTAATAACTTTTTAATTTAAAATACCTTACTGTTTGAAACGATGCCTACTTTAGCTTACTCTAAACAATATTTATGAAAATAAGAATTTGATATGCCACTTATACATTTCTAATACTCATTTAAAATAAATATTAAAAATATTAGGCCCGGGACGGTGGCTCATGCCTGTAATCCCAGCAATTTAGGAGGCTGAGGTGGGTGGATCACGAGGTCAAGAATTTGAGACCAGCCTGGCCAACACAGTGAAACCCCATCTCTACTAAAAATACAAAAAATTAGCTAGGTGTGGTGGTGGCCAACCATAATCTCAGCTACTAGGGAGGCTGAGGCAAGAAAATCGCTTGAAACCGAGAGGTGGAAGTTGCAGTGAGCTGAGGTTGTGCCACTGCACTCCAGCCTGGGCAACGGTGCAAGGCTCCATCAAGGAAAGGAAAGAAAGGAAGGAAGGGGGAGGGGATGGGGGGGGAGAAAGGCTGGGCAGTGGCTCACACCTGTAATCCCAGCACTTTGGGAAGTGGAGGCCGGTGGATCACAAGGTCAGGAGTTCGAGACCAGCCTGGCCAACATGGTGAAAGCCTGTCTTTACTAAAAATACAAAAACTAGCCAGGAGTGGTGGTGTACACTTGTAATCCCAGCTGCTCGGAAGGCTGAGGAGAATCGCTTGAACCTGGGGGACAGAGGTTGCAGTGGGAGGAAATTGGACCACTGCACTCCAGCCTAGGACAGAGGGGCACTCCATCTCAAAAAAGAAAAATTTTTATTCATGATTTACATTGTCACACATCAGGGAAAGTGATGACGTGAGCTGAGGAATTATTAGGATATAAGTATTAATAAAGCCTTCCTTCAGAACAAGTATCACTGAGGAATAATAATAATAATAATAAATAATAAGGCCAAGCACATTGGCTCACACCTAACACTTTGGGAGGCTGAGGCAGGATGAACACTTCAGCCCAGAAGTTTGAGACTAGCCTGGGAAACATAGTGAGACCCCGTCTCTATATAATTTTTTTTTAAAAAAGGAAAAAAAAAATAATAAAATTAACCTCCCCCCCATGAAATCTCCAAAAATAAAGATATAACTTAGAAGAAATAACAAGCCTGCAAGCAACTGCAGTATTTACAGGGAGTCTCACAGAAGAGATCCCTATGAAGAAAACCAGTAAGGAATCATTAGAAAAATAAAAGAACCAGGAAAAAATGGTATCAGTGAAGCTGAAAGAAAATAAAAAGGGAGTGGCTAATAATCTCAAATGCTACAGATAGCCAGCAAAAATCAACTTTCTTTAAAATGCAGTGTCTTATTTCCCTAATTAGAATGTTCATTTCTGTAGGTAATATAATTTTATTTTGATTAATTCCTCTGTATTACTTATACTCCCAATGTAGTAAGTCACAAAAAGGAAGCCCTCAAAACATATGTTAGTTGTGAGGAATATAACATTTGCTAGCTTCCACAAACAATAGAACCATATTCTCCACACAAAATAAATACGGTTTTGAAACTGTGATAAATATAAAAAATATATACTTATCTTGAATAGTTAGTTACCTGTACAAAAGCAACTCCTGTCATCAAAATTACTAGAGAGAGCCACTGGTATACACCCAATTTTTTACTAAGCATAGACACAGAAAATAATGCTGTTGTAAGAATTTTCAACTGATATGTGACCTGAAAAAGAAAATAGTAATATTATTGATGTTTGTTTGTTTCTTAAGAGTACTATTAGAAATGTATTTTAAGCACTACGGTACTATGCCTGGTGATTGCACCTGGCTGGGAACTGGGGTCTAAAGCTTCAGTTAATGTTACTCTCAGGAATCTGATGTACCAGACAACTTTGGACTCTTTAGGCAATGATGCAAAATGAATTGAACCTTTTTATTGTAAATTAGGTTGCAACAGGCAAAAGACAAAGAGAAAATGCTAAAAACAGCAAGAGAAAAGCATCAAGTTACATATAAGGGAATCTCCATCAGTCTAACAGTAGATTTTTAAGAGAACCATTATAGGCCAGGAGAGAATGAGATGATATATTCAAAGTCCTGAAAGAAAAAAAAAAACCTGCCAGATAAAAATACCATATGTCGTAGGCTGGGCGTGGTCTCATGCCTGTAATCCCAACACTTTGGGAGGCCAAGGTGGGTGGGTCACGAGGTCAGGTGTTCGAGACCAGCCTG